TTACGAAGATATAGTTAAGAATAATATATAATTATGATATTTATTTTGTTTGACCGACTTCTTGGACGAGACACGCCATTTGACCCACGATCACGACGTAGTCTTCAACATTCAATCATCCGAAGACTTGTTATATTTAGTAATTTGCCGGAAAATTCATTTCTTTTATTATTAGAATTGGAATTTCCATTGGTAACTGAATTTGGCTTGAATTACAAAACCCCAAAGTCTCCCTTAGTGGAAAACATTAACACATAATTCAAGTCAATTTTTGAATGATACAAGCAAAGAAATAATCATTATGACCTTTTTTGGGTGTTTAAATTGAGAAGAAGAAGAAAAGATTGAATTTTTTATTGTCAACTTGTTCAAAGATATTTATCGGTAAGGAATTTCTTTGTTTTGGAAAAAGAGAGAGAGAGAGAGAGACAAAGGAGATATTTTGAAGATGGGAATTTTCTGGGGTTCTCCAGCTGATAATCCAACACCAAGCACCACTGCTCATCTCAGTTCAGGTGCTCTTCTTTTGCAAAACAAAGATTGTTTATGGTTTTACAAAGAAAAATCCCTTTTCTTTTTTGTATTCATCACCAAAAACCCAGCTCTTGGTGCCGTTTTTGTATGGTATTTTTTACCATTGATTTCTGTATGTTAAGAACTGTGTTTTTTTATTTGTTACATTCTGTTGTCTGCTTTGTTTCATTTGTACTGATGGTAAAACAACTCATGCATGTATTAAGAACTCCATGTGTTTGACAAATTCACTAAGTACATGTCAATTCTGTGATGGCAAAGTGATATCTCAAACAACCAGCAACACAGCATCTAGGGGCAGTAACATCTCCGGGGACAGTGGGTTCTCGGCTTCTAGCGGTGACGAGTCTTCTCCGAATGGGCATGTTTTGCCAAGTTTTAATATGAGGAACTTCAGTTTTGCTGATCGGATGCAACTAAGAATTTTAGGCCTGACATCGTACTCGGTGAAGGCGGTTTCGGCAAAGTCTTCAAAGGCTGGCTTGAAGAGAAAGCACCAGGGAAGAGTGGAAGTGGAACCCTCATTGCTGTTAAAAAGATCAACTCTGAGAGCATGCAAGGATTTGAGGAATGGCAGGTGAATTTTCATTAGTCTCGAGAAAGAGCAACTTATTGAGAAACTTAAATGTTAATGTCTATTTGTTTTCTCTGAACTTAAGATTTGTTCAAGCATGTAAGATTCCAGCTCTGCATAAAGTAAACATTTATGTTTCAATAGTTGATTGTCCTCTGATTGACGATGAACGATATATATATTAAGGATGTGCAGAAGTGCTCTGCTAACTGCATATCAAATGAATTCTTAACAGTTCATAGCTCATTTTAGCCAAGTAAAGAGGCCTGAGAAGTGAACCATTCTTCAATGCAAAGCTATACTATTCTGCTCTGGTAGTTTACATTGCTATTTATGGACAAAGTGTTCGGCTGGTCTCAGGCTGAAATAGATCTAATTTTGTGTCATAAAATTAAGATTTTAAGATTTCACTCCTATAATCTGAATGAATGACATGAGACATGATTGGGACTATTTTAACCAGTTTCAGCTCCAGTGATTCCCTAAAGAAAATCTGCAGCTCCAGGAGTTTTACAAACGTGATACGTCGGATTCGTCGTTTTTATATCTTCTTTTGACTTCTACTTAATATATCCCTTCATAATCTCTCTCTATGAAGTAGGTCTACCAAAACATCCATTCCTGCACTTCAGGAACCGTTCAGTGCTTGTTTTAATGATTTTCTTTTGATAGTAGAATGTAAAGGAATTCCCAGATATTGAGGCGTTTGCTTCCTAATTTATTGGTGCAGTGCGAGGTAAATTTCTTAGAAAGGTTGTCTCAACCGCACCTTGTAAAGCTGCTCGGATACTGTTGGGAGGATAAAGAGCTTCTTCAAGTCTCTGAGTTTATGCAGAAGGGTAGCTTGGAAAACCATCTTTCGCAAGTAAGAGTTCAGAAACCAGTTGCTTATATACCCTATTTTTCGTTTGAGCATATATTCATGTGTGCTCACTTCCCATATCTTATTTCTGTAGATTTAACTTTGTTCAGGGGGATGTGTTGTTCAATTGCTTGAATGGAATATACGGCTTAAAATAGCAATAGGAGCAACAAAGGGCCTATGCTTCTTGCACACGCATACAAGCAAATAATTTACAGAGATTTCGAAGCCTCCAATATACTACTTGATGGGATAAGTTCCCTTAAAAGCCTCGAATATTCTCTAAAAAGAGAGAATCCGCGCGGACCTGTCGTCTGTCGAAGACAAGTATTGCCACAAACCGAGCCTAGCCGAGCCGAGACGGACGGACGGCGACGGTGCGCTAGAAGCCCCTCTTGTTTTCTATCACTCAACAAGGGATTGAGCATTACTAACACTTATTTCAGCAAGTAAAACGAGTTGAGCTTTATAACTTTGTTTGGATAGTTTTACCTGCATTATTGCGCTGTTTATCCTGAATAAACTTCCATGATGTTCATGGTTTATTTCAAGCTAAATTTTAAGCTGATAATATGATTTTTGAGGGAGTTAACTGTATTCGATTACAAGTTCAACCATCGGATCCTTCACTCTTCTCCTCCATTCTCAAAGCATTCATAAACTTTTTGTTAAACCTATCATGGGAAATACATGCATTCTTGTTTAATCTAACAAGGTTATGAATCAGTGTGGAGTTTTACATGAAATGCGGAGACTCAAAACCGGCGTCGGGTGAGATTCAGTTTTCTTAGAATATCATCATTACGGCCACCTTAATCGGGGTTGATATCGTTGGTCCACGATGGTTTGAGAAAGCTAGGATACCTATCGAGCGGGGTGATCGCTTCCTTAAATTTTTACCTGACATAAAATTGTGTCCATACACCTACTTTTGCATTAGACACTTCCACGTTGGTTCTTTTAGTTCAGGCATGCCACAGTGTTGGAGCTTACTAAGGACTGTAAATTCATGGGTGTATCGTGGATTATTTGTATCATGGTAGAGACTAAGTTCTTTTTTATTGAACTCGGAGGTTAAAGTAGAGATATGCGATATATAAAACAATTCAATCCACATAAAATTTTACTTTTTTTCCTTTCGTAAGCTATTAAAAAGTAAAAGTTTAATTTTACTATTTTTTCTATGTAAGTTTCATTTGTAAAAAATAAACTTATTCTTATAATTAGATATTAGAATTAAGGTTTAGGAGTCAATTTTAAATCATGTTTAAACACAAATCATATTGTCTCTCTTTTTGATATTTTTTGCTCGAGATTTTTTTTTCAAAATGATTTTTTTACGTTAAATTTTAATTTTTTTACTGTTTAATATTTGTTATTATTGTGCTTGTATATTATAAACAGATATTAAAACATAAGTTTAATGATGATTTAGAAAATAATTGAATTCAAAATGAAACCGTTAGAATAATGGAATGATTATTAAATTCGTAATCTACCTCGAAAAAACTAAGGAAACTGTCGCTGTCGGAATAACTAAAACGAAATATCCAAAATTTCCCCAACGTCTAACCCTAACACTGCGGACAATCTCATTCTCATCCCTACAATTTCACACGAGCGGGAATGGTATAGGTAGAACCTTAAGGTGACGTTTGGTTCGCTGGAATGTTTCTGAGGAAATTGAAATCTGTGAAATAAAATGGAATATGTGAAGGAATTGGAATATGTCATGAATTGGAATCCAATTCCATATTATGTTTGGTCGGCAAGAAATTGAATTGGAATCCAATTCCATATTCTGTTTGGTTCGTATATGTTAGATGAATTTGATTTCAGTAATGTAAAATTACAGGATTGCCCTTCTTATTTTTTTTGCTTAATTTTAGTTTGTTTTATAAATTACATGTAGCAATATATTATAGAAATTTAAAAAAATTAATTTTAATTTTATTGATTGATTATTATTTCAATAAATTAGAAAAATCATGATAATAAACATCATAAGTTAAAATCATCCAATTAGGGATGGTCATGGGTCAGGTTGGGACGGGTCTTTGGTCCACCCGACCGACCCGAGAACAAGGGAACCTCCATCCGAGACCCGACCCGACCAAAATAAAGTTTCACCCTACCCTACCCGAATATATGAATTACAAACTCGACCCGAAATAATAAAAAAATTATTTTTATTCTATAAAAACAGTGACTTAATTGGAAAAAAAATATATATAGAGGGGTATGATTGTAATTATACCTAAATATATAAGGTAAAATTATATATTTTTGGGTCGGGTCGGGTCGGGTATTTTTCACCCTAAACCCGAACCCGACCCGACCTGACCAAAATAAAGTTTCACCCGACCCGACCCGAATATATGAATTAGAAATCCAACCCGACCCGACCCGACCTGAAATAATAAAAAATATATTTTTATTCAATAAAAACAGTGACTTAATTGAAAAAAAATAATATATAAAGGGGTATTATTGTAACTATTCCTAAATATATAAGATAAAATTATATATATTTTCGGGTCGGGTATTTTTCACCCTAAACCCAAACTCGATCCGACTTGAATAACACACTTTAAAAAACCGACCCGACCCGACCAAAATAAAGTTTCACCCGATCCTACCCGAATATATGAATTAGAAACCCGACCCGACCCGAAATAATAAAAAAATATTTTTATTCAATATATGAATAAGTTACCAAAATATTGATGAAGGTAATATGATCAAATTTCAATTCCCTCCAACAAGTGAATTGAATTCCATCGTAAAATTAATCAAATTCACTTTCCCTCATTTAATAAAAAATTAAAGCAACGGATTCTAATTCTCTTAAAAAATTTAAACCAAACATAAAAAAAAAATGATAGAATTGTATTATAATTCTCCTAATTCCAAGGATTTAAACCAAACGCCGTATAATAAACTTTTCCCCTTAAAAAGACCCGTGAATTCCCCAACTTAACCGAATGCCAAGCATGTGGAACCCGATGTGATATCGCCAGCACCAAAAAGCAGATTAAAACGCTTTACAGCGAGTGGCGCATTGTTCTTCTCTGCCCAAAATGTTACCATCGTGTTGACTTATCTCAAATCTGCTCTTATTGTTTCAAAGATGCGTCCGAAGATTGCTTTTAATGTGCAAAATGTAAGCGTTCCCTTCACAAAACTTGCTTTCTGGATTTCAAATCTGTTCCACCGTGGTCATACTCTGTTTATGGTTCGGAATTTACTGTTTGCCTTGATTGTTGGGTCCCCGAAAAGATTGCTTGCAATAGGGGGATTTTTTGGCGCGAAAGAAATGCTAAGAATCCTAGAGTTTCGGAAGTTAGGAGTGGTGAGGCAGCTAAGTTGTTAGAAGATGTGGTCAAAGATGCTAATTGTGCGGTTGAAGAGACGGTTGAGGATGCGGTTAAGGCAAGTGGAATGGCTGTTAGCAAAGCTGTTGTGGCCAACAAGGCGGTGGAATTGGAAAACAGTAAATTGGAAGAGTGTGATGATGCTGAATTAGCATTCCGATTCCATAGGGCAATGAATAGTTCACCTAGGATATCGAAAAATAGAAATTTGTCTAGTGATAATAGCTTATATACTTTAACTGCTGGTAGTAGTAGGGCTTTGAGTTGTTTGAAACAAACAAAAATGGTTTATGCTCGGCATAGAAAGAAACCAGCTGAGATAGAATTAAGGGATATAGTTTACGCTCGCCATAGAAAGAAACCAGCGCAAATAGTTGATGCACGACATAGAAAGGTAGCATGTGAGAAACTTAATGCACAACATAGAAATAAACAAAATGAGATGGTTTATGTTCGGCGTGGAAAGAAACCTTATAAGTTTGTTTCTAAGCGGCGTAGAAACCACAATGATAACAAGGAAAAGTCTGGTGTTGAAATGGGATTGAAGGAGAGAGGATATATGCTCTAGTTTGTTGTCAAAATGTGTGGCTGATGCTAACACGAACTTTGAGTCTAAGCCTTATAATTACCAAGATGACTCTATTGTCTTTGATAATATGCAGTACTATGGGAAGCTTGTGTAATATTTTTTAACATACAATAGGAAGAAATCAAATTGGAAGGGAACTACAGTTGGCAAAATTAAGTTCCTTTATGATGGATATAACCTTGAAAGTCAGGTTTCATATTCTCAATTGCCTGAATCTTTAATGATCTCAACTGGTTCTCTTCAATGTTATGCTTTTCCTCATCTAGCTGCAGCTGCGAGTGACTCATGTCAAGATCTCCCCTAGACTGACAAGGTAATAAAATGTTTTGCCTTGCTGTTATTTTATTAATTATTTTGTTTTCTTTATTTTCGATTATCGCATATTCTCAATCGCAATGGACATTTACATAGGGGCCTTCCCTTTCTTCTGATTATACTATCATTATGCATCACAACGTTATTTGCTGGTGTTGTGTTGTGGATTATTTGTCCGAGTCTCTGGGATGCTTCAGTGTTCATAGCACATCTTGGCGCCCTTGATGATAGTTAGTTATCATTATTTGTGCCAGTGGAGGAAAAGTGCTATTTCAAGTGGGTCTGTTAGCTTTGGAGTCTTTTGGCTGCTATTTAAAATGTCTTCCAATCATGGGATGGGAGTATCCACATATTGGACGGGTAAGCCTAATCTTTGTGTCTCCTTCCTGTGATTTGTAGCTGTATTTTCAGATAAATTTTGTTAATTTTCTTCACTTCGTAGTCTCTAGAAAAGGGTGAAGAAAAAGACCTTCAACATTAATGGAAAATGAAAGTGAGGATCCTAAGTCTAACTATGGATTTCTAACATGAAATGTTTTGCATCATGAGCTTTAACATTTAAGTTATCTACAATTAAAATAAGTGATTTTGCCAGACTTCAAATTTTTTGCATGAACATAATTAAATGATGATCGGGTAATTTTGAATAAAGTCACAGGTTTTAATCGTAGTATATTTTAATTTTCTGAATATATTGAAAAAAGTTCTCATTTTTATGGTGAAAAATTCTCTTATACTTCGTTGTATTTTGTTAACTCAGTCAGTCAATCGAATAAGCAATTAAATTTATATTAACACCACAATTAAATTCATCTTTATTTGAGCTTCCACACACACAACAAAATACAACTGAATCAACAGTAGATGAGCTCCTAAGATCTTCAATAGCTCTTAAAATAATTTATAATAACACCACAATTAGCTATAATCTAATTCTTGTCAATTTTGAAGCTGTACAAGGATATATCAAAATGTTGTGAAATTATCTATAGAAATTGAGAACAAATTTACAAGCTTACTTTTCAATATTATTACATGATATATGTCCTTAACATTGAACATCACTAGTTTTCTTTGAATCTTTCCTTACTTTGATCTTAGGCATGGACTTTGAGATCTCCATGGGGTGGATAACGATCATAATCAGACTCTTTAATTTCCATGACATATCAGGTACGTTAAAGTTGCTAGCCAAGTCCTGAGTTTATCCTAAATGAATTCTTATTGATCCTTGCACTTAGAACTAAATACAATCCTAGAAGTAATGTGGTTGTGTAACAATGACAACTTCCGGCTGAGATTTACAAGTTGTCTGGTCCCCCGGACAAGACAATGGGCTCAATCATAATATGAAATCTTCCTTATTGATCTGGATGCCTGGACAAATTTAACACTCTAGAGTTCCAATGTGCAAAGCTTTCGCAATTGTCTTTAAAAGCATGTTGTTGGGTAAAACCCCATACTATTGCAATCATATGTCATTATTTATGCGTCGATAAGTTGAGGCCTCAAAGCAAACACAAGGTTGTGCTTCTTCATCACCTCTTTTATTACTTTGAGCGATGAAATGACAACATATGATACCTTGTCAAGTTGTAGATGCATTAATGGATCGTATTTCTCGACCAAGTTCTTCAAGCGAGGATGGGGCAGTGAGCCAAAAATTTGGTGCAAGTGACCGATCAATGCTAGATAGTAAGGTCCATGAGGCAATTTATGTTTTTAGAAAGTCTGATGTATTCTTTCGTAACCATGAAAACTAGTATGAAAGCGAAAAAGTAAGGGAAGAGGACATGTTGGTGACTATGTCGATAGTCTGAGCACTATTCAACAATGAAGAAGATGAATAATATTGATGGAATTGAAGAAATGGAGGAGGGTAATGTGACAAAGAAGATGAATAACGTTGAAATAATCTTGACATGTCTATCTTTTTAATAATAGTTAACTGTAGTGAGCATAATGAAAGTGATTTATTAGTTCAACGATTACATTAAGTTCTAGCAGCCTAAGACTCCGAAGAGTGTTTACCTATAGAAATATTAAGTTGATATGATTGCATATCGTACTGCCTTTGTTTTATTCATAAAAAAGAATTAAAAAATCATTAAAATAATTTGTGAATGCAACTTTTTCGTCCTTGTGATATTTTCCCTTTCATGTTCGCATCTTTGCTTTGTTATCCCATGTCAATGACTATATATTTAATTTTACCACTATAATAACTAATCTAAATGGACAGATTTGGCCAAAGCTTCAATAGCCATGCCAAGGAGAGTACACTGGGCTGTAAGGGTAATTGTGTACTTTCGGCATTGCACCGTACCCTTGCATTCCATCCCTCCTGTTTTGCTCCACCAAAAACCACTGCTTCTTCCCCATATTTGACATTTGTAAGTACGATGGTGGCTCCACCGCAAGCGACGCTGCGAACGGGTCAACAACGTTGATTCCTTTGTGATTGGATGACGGCGGTGCCGGCAAGGCTAGTATCGCCGGTCTTCTGGCTGAACCAAATGCAACGGTGCTGGCACTTCCGGTGGTGACATAACCCGACGAAGCCATGGCCGCCATGGTGTTGCCTTGCTGGTACATACTGTCCAGCAACAATAGGTCGAACCCACCACCGAGTGTTGCTCTTTGGTTCTTCAAGTAGCTTGCTGATTGAACCAAAGCTGATTCCCAATCGGAATCATCCTTGAAAGCTTCCCATCCCGGAACCGATGACGGAGCGGCGGCGGCCAGTATGGAATCACCAAACAAAGCCAACTCCAATTTGTCTCCGTAATCTTGACTCGAGATTGCCTCGTCCTCGAGGTTCAACAAATCACCCTTGTTTTCCACAACAACTAAAGCTTTGGAATTATCTAATTTCTCAGGCTCCGGTTCTAGTAACGCTTTAATGGCGTTAACATCCTCTTCTTCTTCTTCACTCGCTTCTGTTTCTTTAACTGATCCGAAATCGTCCCTGAATCCCTTTGCTTGTTCCAACGCAGATTTTTCGAGGATAAATTCGTTGATAATGTGGAGTTTGCACTTTGCTGAGCCTGTTCTACTCCATCACAACAATATTACGACTACTATATATATATATATATATATATATATATATATATATATTTAAGAATGGAAATTCAAAATTTAATTTTTTTTAAATATGGGTATACAAAAATTATAATTTTTTTTAACACATTAAATTAAATTTAATCATAATTTTAAAATAATAGTATGCACTTACTGAGTGCATCTTATGGGACTGAGTGCATCCGATGGGACTGTAGATAGATATATATATATATATATGCAAACCTATTGGACGACAGGCTAAGAAGCGGTCGAGGAGCTGTCGTAAATGCAGCAACCTTCAAAACAAATGGTCGTTCTTCATCTCGGCGACTGGTACGGATCTTACAACAATGGCAACGTCATCGTTATTTTCATGATCGTCTTCGTTATACCCACACACGCTTCGTCTCCCACCAAGCCTGCTTTCCATTATTACGTATCTAGTCTCTCGTCGAGGTAGAGTGCGTAAGTCCGGACGAATGAGGAGAAATCCCAGGAATTGGATTGGGAAGTGTCACGAAAATCCGACATGTTGAGGATCCGAGTGCCACGCCTCGAGGAGAAGAAGATCTCTCGTGACATGGATAATGACATTAATTATATCACTCCGTCGTTAAACTTAGTTTATCCTTAATTATATCACTATGTCATTATCCACCGTCCAGTTTCGGGTCTTGTTGAGGCGTTTGGAGAGCGTTTTGACGCAGGCGCTGATGCGTTCACGTGAGTAGGAGGTTAAACTTAGGATTTCTCGAACGTGTCTTTCCTCCGCCGGGTATTCTTCGTGCTCTGTCGCTTTGACAATGGCCACCTCCAGGTCGGAAATTGAGCTGCTGCTGCCCACTTTGGCCAGGCTTATGCTGGTTTGGTCTTTCACATGTCCGATGGCCCTTCTGATCTTGCTTGCGACCATGGAAATTTGTTTTCCTTCCTGCTTTTTGGCATTAAACAAATACTTAAAATCATAATCATATTATTAAATTTCGGTCATATCATAACAGTTTTCGAGATCATTATAACGTTATAAATCGTATCTATAATATAAAAATAAAATTATTTTAGAATATATATATATATATATATATTCACAACTACACAATGCAACCACTATTATAATTTAATACCATGTTTCATGAAAGAATAAACATGTAATGTAATCTCAGCTGTTTTATTTGTTCTTGTTAAAAATAAGAAAATCGGGTTAGCTGTCGGAGTTTGATGTCAAAGCACATGAAGACAATTTTAAAGGAGAGTAAATTCCCAACAACAATCGATTGTTGAAAAAAAATTAAATTTTAGGTATAGTTTTGAAAAAATTAAAAGTTTAGATACTAAAATAGACCAAAATTGATAGTTTAGGTACTTAGTGAATAGTTTATCCTTAATTATATCACTCCGTCGTTAAGTTACTAATGGGACAATGATATGGATAATGGTTGCTGATATGACATGCCACACCAAAACGACGTCGTTTTGGTGCATTTATTTTGATGCTTAAAATGACTTCGTATTAGACACTAAACTTTTGAGGTTATAAATTTTGTCACCAAACTTTTAAATAGTTTTCTTTTTTTACCACTACACTTCTTGTTGTCTTTGGTAACCAAGCACCAACATTCATTGGTCATATGCCACGACAAGATTGATACCAAAATGTTCGTGTTTCACTCTTCTTTCTTCTTCTAGGATTGATTTTCCATTAAACCCATTGAAAATTGACAAAAATCCATTCAAAAGTTCAAATACTCTGATCTCTTTCAAAGATCGACAGAATAGTTTTGAGGTATGTTTTTCATCTTCTCAAAATAATATTTTTCAACATTAAGATTTTTTTTAACAATAACCTCAAATCTCATATTTTTAACAAATACCTCAAATCCCATAAATCTAATAGTCTCTAAATATCTAAAAAAATGGTAGATTGTTTGTGTTTATTTCGTCGATTTTTAGTTGGTTTCATAGAAAACTAATCATATGAGAAGAATGAATTGAGGCATCAATTTTGTTGCGAAAGATGATCGGTGGCGGGCAGTGATGTAATATCCCAAATTTTGAACTGGTGGTTGGAATGTAAATTTTGAAAGTTTGGAGACAAAAGTGTAAAGTTGTAAAAGTTTAATGACTAAAAATATAAAATTTCAAAATTTAAATTTTGGATTTTGGATTTTGGATTTGTGAATTAGTAGTTTAGATCAAGACAATTAGTTTAGTGGATTTCAGAATTTTGATATGGAGTTTGCATACAAGTTTATTAAAGGACAAAGATCAATATATTATTCGAATAACCGGATCAAATCGGAAGATTTCAAAAATTTGAAGGAAGGTAAACTTGGGTTGAAAAAATATATGGATATTTTTAATTAGTTGAATTTAAGTTGGATTGGTGGAATTTGGTGAGAATTGCTCTATATATTGAAAAAGTGTCATTTAGTGACTAAAATGAAATTTTAAAAAATTAAAGGATCAAAATGAAATTGTGAGAGATTAAAATTTTACAGCTATTTAATACTACTAAAATAGAGATGAAGGAGTGGTTATGGGTGTAATTTTGGGAATTCATTAAGGGTATTTTTGGTTTTTGGTCAAAAAGAATAAAAAAATCATTTAATTAGTTTTAAAAGTTAATAATTGGGAGATATTTTCTTAGAATTTCCGTGAACTCTTCTTATCTTCTTCAGTACTACCGTGACTCCATAGCCAAAAAGGTAATTTTGTTTTTTTCTTCAATTTTGGTCCATTTTAATTAGAATTTGGACTAAAGTGTGAAATAGGAAAATGTTCTCTACTAAATTTTCTTTCTTTTGGTATAACTTTTGCATGATTTCATGCATAAAGAGTGAAATGGGTTTTTATGGTGGTTGAAGGGGAGGCGATAAATCAATGAAATAAGATTGGATTTTGATTTTAGGAGTGTTATGAAATCATATACAAGTTTAAAAGTTGACTAAAAATCACTAAGGGACCAACTTGGAAGATTCGGTTATGTAGAGGATTTACGGGAAATTGTTGATTTTGATTTGTTTTTAATGTGAGAATGATTAGAATGAATGGAAATGAGTTGTAGTTCAAGAAATCAAGCATGAAATAAAGTTGGAGACCATTAAGGAATTTCTTTAAAATTTTCGGCCTTAAGGAAGAAAAATAGAAAAATTATACAAAAATTTCTTTAAGGATTAGAATGGATGTAGGAATGATTTCATGTGATTGAAATTAAGTTTTGGATCAAGTTGGAGTAATGTTAAGTATATGAGACTATTTTACAAAGTTTGGGAAATTAAAGGATTAAGATGTGAGTTTTTGAAAATTTAAGTATTTTGCTGGAAATTTTGTAAAATGTAAAGTTGAAGGGCTTGGGAAAATACTAGCGATGAAATGATAAAAATATAAAGTTGAAGTAATAAGTTGGAAGTTGTGAAGAATGGTGGTGATTAATTTAGGATTGAAAGTGGTAATAAAGGGATTAATTTGTGGAGAAGAGATATAATTGATTAATTTATAGAAATTATTATCGAATATATTATGGTTTTTTTTAGTAAATGCATATTTATATGTTAGTTAGATACTAACATATATCTTGAAATTTTATTTGTCAGATAAATTAATTCTCGGATAGACTGTGATCACAAATCAAGTCAAATCGAGCAAATAGAAATAGATAAAGGGCCGTAGTGAAAGTAAAACTGACGCTAAGATTTACTAGTGAGACAAAAATGAGTGCAATTTACTTATTTTATATTCGATATGAAGATAACTTGCGATGAGTCGACCTTGATCATTTAAAAGAAACATTATTTAACGTACTTAGAAATTATATTTTTATAATTTCATTATACCAAGTTTATATGCTTTTAAATATGAATGTCATGAGGTATGTTCTTCTGATATTTTATTTTAGCTATATGTTCGAATGAATTTACATGTGAATGTTACAATTTTAATAAAAGCCTAATGTGTATA